TTAGATTCATCATTTACAACATTTTTATTTGAATTACCAATGACAGTATCAATTGAACTTACTAAAATTTTGGATGATTCTACAATTCCGTTGGTTAAGTAACTTTTATTATTCTTTGCATTTAATTGTTTATCATTTTTCTCTTTGACTATCTCCTGTTCATAACAATAAACTTCTACTTTATTAATGAATGTTACCTTTTTAGTATTTGTATCTTTGATTAGAGCCCTAAAATCTGTAGTATCTAATACTTCACTTTTTTTAACCTCCTTAATATTACAAGTCAATTCTTTATTTGCATCTAAATTACAATCTACTACTACCATCTCATCTACTACTTCTTCTCCAACAACTTTCTTTCCAACATATATATCACTGTCCAGCACAAACTCCTTATCTTTATTTAAATTTTTAGGTAACAAGACATCCCCCAATACTTGGCCTTCTATTTTATTTTTATTCTTAAATGCTTCCCAAGTCTTCATTATCTTCTTCCTTTTCAATTCTTTTTTGCCCTTCCTTGCAGATGTATTGATGGGCTCCCCTCCCTCAATACATCTACCAAAGATGCTTGTTCTTGTGCTAGTACCATTATTTGATACATCGGCGCCTAGTCCTGCATCCCTTACTGCTCTTTGTGTCCTTTGAAGATTCAAAGTACGAGCAGAGGTGTAATTGACCGCTACCTTTTTGCACATTGGTAAACAAAAAAAAATTCTTTTTATGCTTTTTTTCTTTGTTTACTTTTAGACCATTCGTTTAATAAAAAAAACCATTTTGATTTTTGACATATAAACAAATACTAAATTAAAAATTGTTATATAAAAGATATAATAATTTTTAATTTAGTTTAAATTTTAATCTTTTTTTTGTGTACAAATATAATGAGAGTCTTGGCACTTTGTAAAATTAAACATTTTTTATGCACAAAATAATTACAACATAATTATTTACATTTTCTTATAAATGTTTACACATAAATTATTTCATAAAATTTATTCTACATAAATTTTTTATATGTTAACATAAATATTCTACATTGTTTACTTTCTTTTTTTCATGTTTAGATAATATATTGTACATAGTGATAAATTAACAATTGTTGCTATATTGTTGATTGCAAATTGCAATATTATAAAATAAAAAACAATTAATAAAAGAGCGATACGCAATTATAAATTATTTTTTATCAAACAATTATACTGTCGTACTGACATTTTATTTCTTCTTTAAAATGTTTAAATTAATTTTAAAATATACAACTAATAATTTTAAAGCAAGACATATTCAATATAAATTGATATAAAAAAAATTTAAAAATTATGTATTTAATAAAAAAGATTGTTTATTTTATTTTTATACTTAAATATTTTATAATAGAAAAGGTTGCAAGATTTATTTGTATTCTATAAATATTATTTGTAAACATAAATGTCTTTTTAAAAAACTATATAAAACAAAAGAAATATTTTTATAAATAAACAAAATAATCGTTTTTTTAATATAAATCATACATGATGGCATGTTATTGGTTCATAAACGACGTTTATTCTAAAATTTAATTAAAACAACATATCTTTTATGCTAAAAGAAAATTAATTGTAATTGGATTAAAAAAAACTTGATCTTTTTATAAGTGAACTATAAAGTGCTTGTATTAAAAAATTATCTCTATTGGTTCAATTTAACAAATTTATTATATTTATTCTTATTTGTGTCATTACTTAATAATTATAGTGTTTATGAATTTGCTGTATATTATTGTAATATGTATTGTTTCTTATCTATATATATTTTATTATCAATAACTATATCTTAGATATGTTAAATATACATAAAAACGGCTGTTAAAAATTTATATACAACATAATAATTTATTTTTAAAAACTTCAAATTTCTCTTTAACATATGTAAATGTAACAATCAACATGCCAATTAACAAGTAACCACAATCCTATTTTTCTTTCTTCTTATAAATAAAATTTTTATTTTTACCCTCACGTCGATTTTACTATTCAGAATCGTTTGTTTAGTTCATCGAGTCAGTATTGTGAAAGCAATGAAAACTGTACAACTAGAATGA